ACTGTAATGTGTGCCTTACTGTAATCCATGGTAGTTTCCCTTCTCTTTTCTGCTCTTCCTTTTAAATCCTCATGTCTTCTCATGCTGGAGGAGAACTTCCCTTTGCAGCTCAGGGCCTCTTCCTGTAGTGCTGGCTCAGGTTACAAACCAATACACAGACACCATATATCCATTCCTGAGACAAGGCAGTCTGCTGCAAAACAGAAGGTCTGCCCAGCATGAGAACAGATACAGATTTAAAAGGAAGAGCAGCAAAGAGAAGGGAAACCACCATGGATTACAGTAAGACACACATTACAGTATTGTTTTATGTTAAAAAATCTGAGGGTTTAATGTCACTTTAAGTATGCATAACTGTTCACCCCCACAGTGACTACTTTGTAGAGCCACCTTTTACAGCAATTACAGCTGCAAGTCTATTGGGGTACGTCTCTATGAGCTTAGCACATCTAGCCACTGGGATATTTGCCCATTTTTCAAGGCAAAACTGTTCCAGCTCTTTCAAGTTTCGCAGGTGTAGAGCAATCTTTAAGTCATGCCACATTCTGAATTGGATTGAGGTCTGGGCTTTGCCTAGGCCAGTGGTGGCGAACCTTGGCACTCCAGCTGTGCCAAAACTACATATCCCAACATGCATCTGCCCCTGGGAGTTATGTCTGTGGCTGTCAGAGCCTTGCAATGCCTCATGGGACTTGTAGTTCCAAAACAGCTGGAGTGCCAAGGTTCGCCATCACTGGCCTAGGCCATTCCAAGACATTTAAATGATTCCCCTTTAACCATTCGTCTGTTGCTTTAGCAGTATGCTTAGGGCATTGTCCTGCTGGAAGGTGAACCTTCGTCCCAGTCTCAAATCTCTGGCAGACTGAAAAGTTTTCCCTTAATAATTTCCTTGTATTTACCGCCATCCTTCATTTCTTCAATTCTGACCAGTTTGCCAGTCCCTGCCGATGAAAAACATCCCCACAGCATGATGTTGCCACCACCATGCTTCACTGTGGGTGTCGGGATGGTGTTTTCGGGGTAATGAGAGGTCTTGGGTTTGCGACAGACAGGTTTTCCTTGAAGGCCAAAAAAAATAGATTTTAGTTTCATCTGACCAGAGTAACTTCTTTCATATGTTTGGGAAGTCTACCATATGCCTTTTGGTGAACATCAAATGTGTTTGCTTATTTTTTTCTGTAAGCAATGTTTTTTTTCTGGACACTCTTCCATGAAGAAGGACAGCTCCACTAGTGTTCTGCTTAAAGTGGTCCTATGGACCGATACTCCAATCTCTGCTGTGGAGCTTTGCAGCTCCTTCAGGGTTATCTTTGGTCTCTTTGTTTCGTCTCCAAATATAATGCCCTCCTTGCCTGGTCCGTGAGTTTTGGTGAGCAGCCCTCTCTTGGCATGTTTGTTTTGGTGCCATATTCTTTCCATTTTTTAATAATGGATTTAACGGTGCTCCGTGGGATGTTCAAAGTTTTTGATCTTTTCTTATAACCCAACCCTAATCTGTACTTCTCCACAACTTTGTCCCTGACCTTTTTGGAGAGCTCCTTTTTGTCTTTATGGTGCTGCTTGCTTGGTGGTGCCCCTTGCCTAGTGGTGTTGCAGACTCTGGGGCCTTTCAAAACATGTGTATATATATATAATGAGATCTTGTGACACTTAGATTGCACACAGGTGGTCTTTATTTAACTAATTATGTGACTTCTAAAGGTTATTGGTTGCACCAGATCTTATGTAGGGGCTTCATACCAAAGGGGGTGAATACATATGCACGCACCACTTTTCCATTTTTTACAATGATTTTGAAAGTTATTTTCTTGATTTCACTTTACTTTACCACTATTTTGTGTATGTGTCTATTATGTCTATTACATGTAATCCAAATAAAAACACATTTTAATTCCAGGTGGTAATGCAACAAAACAGGAAAACAGAAAAAAAAGGGGATCAATAATTTTGCAAGCCACTGTATATATTCTGAAAGCAAAAACCCTGTAGAATAAAATGGTGGCGGTTGCAAATTTTTACATTGTACGATATTAGTGCAAACCCAAAATATTAGTTAAAAATACACAAGTTAATTTTAGTGCCTATAAACACAATATAATACCCAATTTTTAAAGAAATATAAAAGATAAAGTTATGACAAGTAAATAGATACCCAACATGCCCAGGAAATAAATGGTGTGTGTTTGTGAAACGGTGACAAAATACAGTACCCCAAATTGTCCATAGGCAACACTTTGAAAGCCCCTACAGGTCATCAGTTTAGAGATATTGGTGAATATTGGCCCAAGAATTATTGCTCTCACTCTGGTGCATGCGGCCATACTTAACATGTGTAGCACGATCGTTGTTTTCATACATAGGCACACCTGATGCGTGTTTACATTAATATGCATGTGCTCATAGGGGCGCGGGACTTTACTTTTTTTATTTTTATATTTTCTAATATAATTTTATTCCTTTAAAACTTTTTTTTTCCTTAACTTAATTGCTATTACATATGGGAGCTTGCAAGCCCCCTATGTCATAGCACATTGGAGGTGACAGATTCTCTTTAAAGGAGAACTATGGGGTTAAGGCTTTTCCCCATAGTTCTCCTTAGGGTAACGGGAGGACACAAACTAGCATCCTCCCGTCACCCTAGGCTCAGTATAGCGCGAGCTGTAGCTTGCGGTATACTGAGGCGCCGCAGTATACCGCGAGCTGCTGCTCGCGGTATACTGAGACGCCGCAGCTGAAGCGGATCCCGGCACAATTGTGCCGGGATCCGCCCAGATGTATGACTGACAGCTGGCTCTGCCTATCTAGAGGACGCGAAGCCAGCTGTACCCGCACCCTCCCCGTCCGTTCCGCCAGCCCCTCCCCTGTCACGGCAGAGAGCCGTGACAGGATCGAGAGGTGAGCGAACGCCGGTATGTGCTCGCTCACCTCCCGATCTACCGAGCCGACCTGTGACAGTTTCATTGTCACAGGTCGGCTAGAACTATGAGGTGAGTGAAAAGCACTCGCCTCATAGTTCTCCTTTAAGGTGACATTAGGGGTCAATTAGACCCCTGGTGACACCTTTCCACTCCAAAGAAGCTATTGGAGTGCAGATTGTGCACCAATAGCTTCATACAGGGAATGACAGCTGAGGGACCAGAAGTGATCGCTTCTAGCCCCATTCAGTGGGGATGAGATTTGCAAACAAATGTTTGCTGGTCTTCTTCCCCGCTTCAAGCCGACACCCGTGGTGCCATTCCCAAGCTCACAGGAAGGGCAGCAGGGCCCAGGAAGCAAGGCTAGACAAAACAAGCACTTAACCCTTGCAGTTTGGGGTAGCACCACTGCAAGGATTATGTTTTCTACTGCCCAGAGATCTTTTTTAAATTCGGAAGGTTTTTAAGCTATTTCAAATGCGGATGAAATCACTTACAATGGATGCTGCTTTTTGATGTTTCAAAGTTTCAGTTTCCTGCAGAATCATCTGGTCCCCTGAGCACTGGACCTGATATCCTGTTTTAGGGTGGCTTATTTTCCTTGCACGGGCCTATGGACCCACCCTTGTGTGCTAGATGTGTTTCCACAAATATACAGATGCAACAAGGCAAGACACACCCCTTCTCACTGCTCCTCCTTCCTTCTCCAAACTGGCAGAAAACAAACTGCTAGAGACTGCTTTGTCTCTTGTGATTTTGCACTGGACAGGAAGTTCAGGGAAGCTGAGCTGAGAGAGTTGGATGACTGTAAGTGTTTGGGCAATCATTTAAAGACATGCTTTGCTGGACAATATACATTTGTTTTATTTTGATTCATTATTGAAAAAAGTTCAAGACCTTAAAGGAGAACTACGGGGTCAGGGCTTTTCCCCATAGTTCTCCTAAGGGTCACGGAGAACACAAACTAGCATTCTCCCGTGACCCAAAGCTCAATATAGCTCGCGGTATACTGAGAAAGCCACAGCCGGGTTAGATCCCGACAATACTGTCTGGATCCACCCAGCTGCGGGATTGACTGGATAGGCAGAGCTGTGCCCGCCCCCTCCCCGTCCGTTTTGCCAGTCAGCGCTGGAGGATCGGACATGGGAGGGGGGGAATCCCTGCAGGGAGCTGTGAGTGACAGTCACGGCTCTCTGCAGGGATAGATCGAGAAGTGAGCGAGCGACAGTATGTGTTCGCTCACTTCCCGATCTACTGAGCCGACCTGTGACAGTCTCATTGTCACAGGTTGGCTCAGATTATGAGGCTGAGTGGAAATCACTCACCTCATAGTTCTCCTTTAATGGTGCTTTAAACAATCATTTTACTAGGGGATGTGCCCTTCACCTCCATACTTTGTACTACAAGTACAAAGTATTCTTTGTCATATCAGAAACATGAGCATCAATAAGCCTTTAAAAGGTGATAAAAACTGGACCAGCTGCAAAACTGTTAACCCCTCACTGCATGCTGCACATTTTATTTTAGAATTTGCATTGATTTTCCATAGGCTTATATTTGTCCTATTAGTCTATAATGTGCATTTTATCATACATATAATAATAGCTAAAATTGGTCCAGCAGCAAAAGCATGAAACCCTCGGAGCACCCTGCTGCCAGTATTTTATATCACCTCATTCCCAACACATAGGACACTGTGCAAATAAAGGCCATATATTGCGAAGCATCCACACTCCAGCCTCTTCCACTGTATACTAATGACCTCTGCCCTGGTACCGCCCCCTACACTCGCTCCTCCCTTCTCCACCCACTTCCCGCCCTATCACCAATGGCATCACTGCCCGCAATAATTCCTTGGCAGCCATCTTTGATTCTGGCGAGAGAGGACCTCGCGAAAATGATACAATGTAATAATAAAACGAATACTTTACCCGCACACGACTATAGAAAATGATTACTAAAACGAATCCTAGAAACAGCTTTGAAAAGGGAAGTACAAGAAAGCCTCCCTGGTCATTTGACTAACTTCCTGTTGATGTGACGACGGCCGCAGACTTCTGTCACTGGTGAACTTCATTAATCAGGGGTCCTCGGGGTGTATGTGACAGGGAGCGAGAACTATGACACGGGGGACACTTGCCTTGGTCCTGATTGGGGTGTCAGTGTGCGCTGTGGCTGGGTTGCGGTTGTGGCCAGTGCCATACAGGTAAGTCCTTCCTATACTGGACTTCTATTACCAGCTTACTGCCGTGCATTGAATCATTCTATACTTGATTTAGGTGAGTGAAGCACACTAAAACATGCCAGGGATGCTTCTTGCAGTTATTAAGGCTCTCTATAGTCAAAGGGACATGTGCAAGATATTTTTCTGGCATAAAAAGTATTTTTCTACAATGATAATAATCCATATCAAGTGGAGCTGAACCCTGGGAAGTACAGGAAAAACTGCACTTGTTGTATGTCAAAGTACCCCCCTCCCCATCCCATTGCCCAACCTTCCTCACCCCACCCCACCCCAACCCCCTTCTCCCCTCTTGAATGTAAATAAATAACTGCTTTAATAAGAGGGCTTCCTGGGGAGACCTCTCCTAGATGATCTTTTGCATATTAAATCTTCCAGTCTACCCAAATTTCCTCTCATCTGGGACCCATCACACAACGTCTCCTACGATTTGGACTTATCTGTCCACTCTACCTTATGTGACCATACTCCTAGAGCAGGGGTAGGCAACCTTGGCTCTCCAGCTGTGCTGAAACTACACTCCATTCTTTTCTCTTCCTCCCTCTCACCCTCTTCCTTCCACCCTTTTCCATCCTACCGCGCTCTTACTTCCTTCCCCTTACCCTCTTTCTTCCTCTCACCCTCTGCCTTTCTTCCTTCCAACCTTTTCCTTCCTCCCTCTCACCCTCCTCCTTCCCACCCTTTTCCTTCCTCTCTCTCACCCTCTTCCTTCCTCGCTCCCTCTTCCTTTTTTTTTTCTTCTCCCTACCACCATTTTACTTCCTCCCCTTTCCTTGCTTCCTTCCTCTTACCCTCTTCCTTCCTTCCTCCCTTTTTCTGACTTCCTTCCATTCTCTCCCTTTTTCTGACTTCCTTCCATTCTCTGACTTCCTTCCATTCTCTACAATTAACTCCATGACATGAGAGGCTACCACCTAAAATTGGTGGAGAAAACATTTCAGCACAAGGGGCGAAGGGGTTTCTTCTCAGTTAGATCAGTCAGGGTCTGGAATTCGCTGCCACGTGCTGTGATTTCGGCTGATAGTGTGGAATCATTCAAGAGGCGATTGGACAATTTCCTCAGGGACCGTAATATACAGGGGTACAGGTACTTTTAAGAATGAGAATACACATACGCACACACCAGTAGGACCATACACATACACACAATAGGTTAAACTTGATGGACATATGTCTTTATTCAACCTCAAAAACTATGTAACAATGTAACCCTCTTCCTTCCTCCCTCCCTCCCTTTCTGTTCCTTTCTACCTTCCCTTCTTCCTCCTCCTGCCCTTCATGTAACCTATCCTTCTGCCCCCACTCCCTTTCTTTCTTCTTTCTCCATACTCCCTCGCCCCCTCCCCTATACGTCCTTCCTTCCTCCCTCTCACCCCCTACCTTCCTTCCTCCCTCCTTCCCACCCTCTTACCTTCTGTCTTTGGGGTGCCATTCCAATGAATGGCAACGCAGTGCACTTCCCGCACAAGAATGCGTGGTAGGTACGATTGTGTGGTATAGTGCGGTAATCGCACAGGACTGTGTGCTTAACGCATTGTACTGTACTAGTGTGAACAGGCCCTCAAAAACACTGACAGACACACAGAACCACAGACACAATCTCACACGCACATACACAGTCCCCCCAATTTTTTTTTCTTTAAGATCCACCCAGTCTCTCTACTATGAGAACTGGAGTGGATCCTCAGCCTGGGGTCCAGTGTGGGCTGCTGTGCTGTGAACGAGCTCCGCCCATATGAGGATTGCTTGTACAGCTCCCATGTGCGTCTTGTAGAGGTGTTGGGAGCCAGAATGTGACATCACTCCGGTCCCGGGACTTCTACAGGGCATGCAAGAGAGCTGTAAGCAATGCACCTATGGATTGAGCTTCCTCACAAACATACCCCCAGCCCACCCCACCTCAAGCTGACACTCTGCACTGAGCAGCAAATTTTGAATGGCTGCTCGGCACGAGAGCTGACATTGCTGCGCTAGGGTGAGACTGAGGAGCCTCCCGGCTTGCACAATGAAAGGAATGCAGCAACACACTGAACACGGGGTTGTGAACCACAGTTTCAAAGTATTTGTGTGCAGATGACGCGGCTATGTGGGCATAGCCATGCCAAATAAAAACTGACAGGAGCCTGTGGGGTGAAGAACCCTGTGATTCAGGTAAGGAGGGGGGGGGGGGCAAGATGGAGGTGAGGGACTGCCAATATGACTATGTTTCTTTCCTTTTACACCCTGAATATGTGTGTAACATGAAACATGGTACTAAAGGTAAATTAAGCCTTTAAACAGGCAGAAGGTGTGTTATGTAAAATGTACACTCACTTCCCCCTTAATAAACCATGCTTAGTGGAGTTCCCCTTTAATATATCAATCATTGTATTACATGCATACAGTAGGTGATGTGTACATTTAACATCAAAGGTGATGTTTGTTGTTTTTTTCTTTCATACTCAAATTGCTGCAGTTCATAATGCTCTTTTCAAAGTAATCATTTCATGTCCACTTTATATATGCAGACGATTTGACTACCGTCCTAAGTCGGATCCCTACTGTCGAGCCCAATATACATTTTGCCCTACTGGATATGCAGATGGCTCTATTCCCTTGATGAAGGATGAAGACACTATTGAGGTTTTCCGACTACAAGCACCAGTTTGGGAATTCAAGTATGGAGATCTGCTCGGTCATTTTGTACGTGTACTTTGTTTATTTACAAATGTTTTATATAAAGGATCACAGATCACAAAAGTCAGACATTTGTGCTTATCAGAAAATTCAGTGCAATACAATTGTATTACACATTCAATACACTTAAAGTTTCTGTTTTCCATCTGCTGACTGTAGAGGCAAACTCCTTTAGGCCCCTTTCACACAGGCTTTCTGATCCGGTCCACCTGTCCGTTTTTCAGGCGGCCCCGATCGAAAGCCCAATGTTAGTCTATGGAAAGCCGGATCTAAATGGACGGGCATCTCTTAGCACATTTGATTACACATGGTTCTGGCCAGGTCCAGAAAAACAAATGGATCAGAGATCTGTTTCCCCAGACCTAATCGTACCAGATTGGGGGTAACCGGATACAAATGAAGGCACATCTGTTTAGATCTGGCTGCCCATACACTAATATGGGTCCAGTAATGTCAGTTTTTTTACTCCATTGCAAGATGCTGGAAAAAATTGGACGCACACGGATGTCACAAAGAGGACATCCGTGACCAGACAGTGTGAAAGGGGCCTTAAGGTGCCCATACACTCTTCGACCTCCATTCGGAAATCTTCCACGAATGGTCTTTCGAATGAAAATCGAACAGTTGATGGGACACCAACACATTTTTTTACTGTAATCCCGTTCAAATTTTTTCAAAGGGTGAGGCTGGAAAACTTTTTTTGATTCGAATGAAAATCGATGGATTAGTGGCATTTTTGTACGCAATAAATCGCAGCAAGAACACTGCACATGCACAAACAAAAATTTGTTCTGACGATCAGCAAAATTCAGTGAGTTAGTATTGCTAACAAACGATTATCGTAATCAACATTGGTCTGTGCATGATGGGGTATTTGAGCTAGAATCGAAGGAGGGTTCTTGGCAGCAACTAAAATGTATAGGTGTATGGCCAGCCTTAGGCTTCATGGCTTTAGATTCTATACAGTACTAAGGTCTCATTCACACAGGGAAAAGAGGTCTTTTTGTGGATTCCTGCAGCAGGTATCATAGGTGGTCCTTTCTGCCAATGTTCAGATGTAATTGCACAAGGATCAATCACCCACAGTTAGGGACAGATGCAAACAGGAATCCACAGCCAGACCTCTTTTCCTCGTGTGAATGAAGCCTACAAATCACAGTTGATCACAACATTCAAGCCAAGTGTTGTTAATGTCTGTATCCATCGACATATATTGGTTTCACTAAAGAATAAGGGGGTTAGCCACAGAGGAGCCGAAGGATCCAGCCGTAGCTTCAGCTGATCCTTCGGCTCTCTTCGGCCATCGGAGTCGAACTGAAGGACTGCTGTAGCTGCAGTATGGGCTATTTACTATAGCCCGCAGCCGAGCCGAAGGCATATGCTACATTGTTTGGCTCACTTCACTTCGGCTAGGTTATTCACTCGGCGGCCTTCGGCAGCTTTGTGATTAACCCCCCAAGTGTTGTATCAGAAATGATTTGTGCACAATGTCATAGTGCTACACAATTAATTATGGGATGGTATGATGGTTTCACAAATAATGCATTGTAGCTAATGAATTTAGAATGGACACCATCCTGATAGGACATCTGTGTATTCCCCAGCCTGGGATTGAGATATCTTTGTAGGCTGCTGAAGTTGCAGTCTGGCTGGGATGATTGTTTCATTTCTCTGTTCTGCATATTATATTAATATGTCTGGTCCTGTGATTCCTCTCACCATGGCACTGCCAAGAATCTTTCATTTCCACTGTATCAGATGGCTTGCGAGAATATGTTTTTAGTATGGAAATGGAATGTTGTGCATATTAAAGCTGAACTCTGGACACAAAAACTTTAACTGAAATATATTTTACAATAGCCACAAAGGAAATAAATCTGCTTTGTGTGCACCCAGTGCTTTTGCAAACCCGATTATTGCCTTGTAAAAGTAGTAGTATCATAATCACTGTGCTGCACATAGCTTGTACAGAGAGCAAAGCTGAAGGAGGGATCCAGCAGGTCATCTCACTGCTGGATCCCTCCTTCAGCTCCTTTTACTGCCTGCAGTAAAACTATTATTATTATTATACAGGATTTATATAGCGCCAACAGTTTGCGCAGCGCTTTACAATATAGGGAAGACATTACAATTACAATACAATTCAAGACAAGATGGTAAGGAGGGCCCTGCCCCTGAGGGCTTACAGTCTAAAAGGGAGGGGCAAGTGATACATGAGGAGGTAGCAGTGTGGGGATGAATTGTCTGAGAAAGTGATAGTTCAGCGGTTAGGTTGTGGTGGGGTAGGCTTCCCTGAAGAGATGAGTCTTAATGGTTTGCCTAAAGGCAGTCAGAGTGGGAGATAGTCGGACTGGTTGGGGTAGAGAGTTCCATAGGATGAGAGAGGCTCTAGTGAAGTCTTGGAGGCGAGCATGGGAGGAGTTGATGAGGGAGCTGGAAAGCAGAAGGTCATTTGAAGAGCGGAGGGGACGGTTAGGGTGATACTTTAAGACAAGGTTTGAGATGTAGCCGGGGCAGAGTTGTGGATGGCTTTGTAAGTGGTTGTTAATATTTTGAACTTTATCCTTTATGCTATTGGAAGCCAGTGCAGGGATTGGCCGAGGGGGATGCAGACACTGAGCGGTTGGTCAGGTGGATGAGTCTAGCAGCTGCATTCATGATAGAGTGAAGGGGGGATAGTCTGTGTAGTGGAAGGCCAATGAGGAGGGAGTTGCAATAGCTAAGGGGGATGGATACAAGACCAGTCACTGTGCACAAGGAGAGAGAGTAGCAGTGGCCGGTCTTTATTACAGCAATCTCCCGCACAGAGTAAAAGTTTCACGCTGGAACATTGCACAGATTTGGAGGAAATACACGAAACACAGCAAGATTTAAGTACGAGTACAAATGCCTCTTGTATTTAGCAATATTTGCTTGTCCTAGAGTTCAGATTTAAATACTTACCATTTATATGCATTGCTATAGTAGACTTGGTTTTGCAGACAATATGAGTTTATAATGTTTTTTTACCCAAAGTCTTTATTGTTTCTTTCTTTTCTTGTAGAAAATTATGCATGATGCGGTTGGATTCAAGAGCTCCTTGACGGGGAAAAATTACACTGCAGAATGGTATGAGCTTTTCCAACTTGGTAACTGTACATTCCCTCACCTACGGCCTGACATAGAGGAACCATTCTGGTGTAACCAGGGAGCGGCCTGCTTCTTTGAAGGAATAGATGATGAACACTGGAGGAGTTATGGCACTTTAGTTCCAGTAACAACAATCTCAGGTAAAGACACGCATGTTAGACAATGGTTCAGTAGCCTCATGTCTACAAACTGTGGGACAGGAATGTGGACATCTTCAGACATCTAACTTATGTTCTAGCCAAAGCAAGAGAAAATTCTGATTGTTTGCTTTGTGCGGCTACAATTCCCTAGTCAATATATACCCCATCACGAGGTTTCTGAAAACTTGGTCTGCTGTGTGCAACCATCAGGAAGTTTGGAGTTTTTGCACTTTTGACCAGCTAATGTAGAATATTACACTTCCCTTTTTTAGTGACCTGTGAGTTATAGGCACTTGTGAAATCTCCTAGGTTCTTTTTCTGTTACACCTCAGAATGACTGCCGTACACACCCCAGGGCCTGCACCCAGTCAGGCTAGTCAGTAGTCATTGGGAGTAAAAAAAATGGCCTGATTACAGTAGTCAATGGGGGTAATACATGCCCCTGGATCAGTGGGAGTAATACATGTCCCTGGATCAGTGGGAGTAATACATGTCCCTTGATCAGTAAGAGTAATAAATGCTCCTGAATCGGGGGGGGGGGGGGGGGGAAAAAATAGCCCGTGGGGC